ACAAAGTATTGACTCAGGTGTATGAATACTTATGTAGCCACCCTTTGCCTTGATGACAGCTTTGCACACTCTCGGCATTCCCTCAACCAGCTTCATGAGGTAGTCACCTAGAATGCATTTCAATTAACAGGTGTACCTTGTTAAAAGTTAATTTGTGGAATTTCTTTCCTTCTTAATGCGTTTGAGCCAATCAGTTGTGTTGTGACAAGGTAGGGGTGGTATACAGAAGATAGCCCTATTTGGTAAAAGACCAAGTCCATATTATGGCAAGAACAGCTCAAATAAGCAAAGAGAAACAACAGTCTATCATTACTGTAAGATGTGAAGGTCAGTCAATCCGGAAAATGTCATGAACTTTGAAAGTTTCTTCAAGCGCAGTCGCAAAAACCTTCAAGCACTATGATTAAACTGGCTGTCATGAGGACCGCCACAGGAAAGGAAAACCCAGAGTTACCTCTGCTGCAGAGGATAAGTTCATTAGAGTTAACTGCACCTCAGATTGTAGCCCAAATAAATGCTTCACAGAGTTCAATTAACAGACACATCTCAACATCAACTGTTCAGAGGAGACTGCGTGAATCAGGCCTTCATGGTCGAATTGCTGCAAAGAAACCACTACTAAAGGGCACCAATAAGAAGAAGAGACTTGCTTGGGTCAAGAAACATGAGCAATGGACATTAGACCGGTGGAAATCTGTCCTTTGGTCTGATGAGTCCAAATGTGAGATTTTTTAGATTTTTTCCAACCACCGTGACTTTGTGAGACGCAGAGTAGGTGAATGGATGATCTCTGCATGTGTGGTTCCCACCATGAAGCATGGAGGAGGAGGTGTGATGGTGTGGGGGTGCATTGCTGGTGACACTGTCAGTGATTTATTTAGAATTCAAGGCACACTTAACCAGCATGGCTACCACAGCATTCTGCAGCGATACGCCATCCCATCTGGTTTGCGCTTAGTGGGATTATCATTTGTTTTTCAACAGGACAATGACCCAAAACATACATCCAGGCTGTGTAAGGGCTATTTGACCAAGGAGAGTGATGGAGTGCTGCATTACATTTACATTTACATTTTAGTCATTTAGCAGACGCTCTTATCGAGAGCGACTTACAGTTAGTGAGTGCATACATTATTTTAATTTTCATACTGGCCCCCCGTGGGAATTGAACCCACAACCCTGGCATTGCAAACGCCATGCTCTACCAACTGAGCTCATCCCTGCCGGCCATTCCCTACCCTACTCTGGACGACGCTGGCTAATTGTGCGCCGCTCCATGGGTCTCCCGGTCGCGGCCGGCTACGACAGAGCCTGCATCAGATGAACTGGCCTCCACAATCACTGGACCTCAACCCAATTGAGATGGTTTGGGATGAGTTGGACCGCAGAGTGAAGGAAAAGCAGCCAACAAGTGCTCAGCATATGTGGAACTCCTAAATATGTCATTTACATAAGTATTCAGACCCTTTACTCAGTACTTTGTTGAAGCGCTTTTGGCAGCAATTATACACTCGAGTCTTCTTGGGTGTGACGCTACAAGCTTGTCACACCTGTATTTGGGGAGTTTCTCCCATTCTTCTCTGCAGATCCTCACAAGCTCTGTCAGGTTGGATGGGGAGCGTCGCTGCACAGCTATTTTCAGGTCTCTCCAGAGAAGTTCGATTGGGTTCAAGTCCGGGCTCTGGCTGGGCCATTCAAGGACATTCAGAGACTTGTTCCGAAGCCACTCCTGCATTGTCTTGGCTGTGTGCTTAGGGTCGTTGTCCTGTTGGAAGGTGAACCCCAGTCTAAGGTCCTGAGTGCTCTGGAGCAAGTTTTCATCAAGGATCTCTCTGTAATTTGATCCTGACTAGTCTCCCAGTACCTGCCACTGAAAAACATCCCCACAGTATGATGCTGCCACCACCATGCTTCACCATAGGTATGGTGCCAGGTTTCCTACAGACGTGACACTTGGCATTCAGGCCAAAGAGTTCAATCTTGGTTTCATCAGACCAGAGAATCTTATTTCTCATTGTCTGAGAGTACTTTAGTTGCTCTTTGGCAAACTCCAAGCGGGCTGTCATGTGTCTTTTACTGAGGAGTTGCTTCCGTCTGGCCACTCTACCATAAAGGCCTGATTGGTGGAGTGCTGCATAGATGGTTGTCCTTCTGGAAGGTTCTCCCATCTCCACAGAGGAACTCTGGAGCTCTGTCAGAGTAACCATCGGGTTCTTGGTCACCTCCCTGAGCAAGGCCCTTCTCCCCCGATTGCTCAGTTTGGCCGGGCGGCCAGCTCTAGGAAGAGTGTTGGGTGGTTCCAAACTTCTTCCATTTAAGAATGATGGAGGCCACTGTGTTCTTGGGGACCTTCAATGCTGCATAATTTTTTTGGTACCCTTCCCCAGATCTGTGCCTCGGCACAATCCTGTCTCAGAGCTCTACAGACAATTTCTTCAACCTCATGGCTTGGTTTTTGCCCTGATATGCACTGTCAACTGTGGGACCTTATATAGACAAGTGTGTGCCTTTCCAAATCATGTCCAATCAATTACATTTACCACAGGTGGACTCCAATTAAGTTGTAGAAACATCTCAAGGATGATCAATGGAAACAGGATGCACCTGAGCTCAATTTCGAGTCTCATAGCAAAGGGTCTGAATACTTATGTAAATAAGGTATTTCTGTTTTTTATTTGTAATACATTTGAAAAAAATTCTAAAAACATGTTTTCGCTTTGTCATTATGGGATATTGTGTGTAGATTGATGAGGAAAAACATTTGTTTAATCAATTTTAGAATAAGGCTGTAATGTATGAAAATGTGGAAAAAGGGAAAGTGTCTGAATACTTTCCGAATGCACTGTACATATCTATATATATATATATATATATATATATATACACACATGTTTATTTTTTGGGGGGACCTGCGGTCCGTATTGACCCCGTTCTGTGTCCGGATCCAGTCCGCGCTCCACCAGTTGAGTATGGAGGGTCTATGTCATGGAAAGAGCAGGTGTTCCTAATGTTTTGTACACCCAGTGTATGTTCTATGATATATATCTATGACTGTAGAAATGGCCACACAAGATGACAGACAGCTGAGAGAAGTATATATTTGAACAATACAGAAATATATATAAGTATGAGAGAAAATATAAGGGTAAGAGCGTCTGCTAAATGACTAAAATGTAAAATGTAAAATATAAAAAAACATAAGTATTCAATGCAAAACTATAGGTGATAATAAACTATACTTTAAACTGTTACACAGGTTAAACTGTCAGGTTATTGAAGTGTTACACTTAAGGCGACAACCTCCCTGCTCATTTTGTTCTTTATATACAAGTTCACAGACCGGTGACACAAAAAGAACAAACCTAAAAAAATTATTCAAGTATTCCTATTGAAAAGGGTCTCTATATGAAATGGAAAGGTAGAAGAGTAGAGTGGAAATAGGCACAGAGACATACAGGATCAATAACCTCAACGAACCCTACAGATACATACTACACAGGGACAGAATTACAAGATCACAGCTAACGTTCACAGTTACAGAGGCCTGTAAACAAACCTCTGCCCACCAGGGGCCTACTGGGACCAGAATCGGCCTGGCCATTTCTAACACATTATTCTAACACATTATCAGCCAAATAATGATAATTCTGTATGTGTAAAACCCCAAATTTTCTGCTGTACACAGAGACATCGAGTCAACAGATCACTTCAACACTCCACTGACTGAGCATGATCACATACACAAGTCCAGCGCTTACATACTGTACTGTACATCTATATATAGTTTGCTACATTAGCTAACTTCTCACACCTAATACTGTAGTACACCTGTAGTAATAACACAGTAATACTGTAGTACACATGTAGTAATAACATAGTAAAACTATAGTAATACTATAGTACACCTGTACACCTGTCCCGAGTGGCGCAGTGGTCTAAGGCACTGCATCGCAGTGCTAGCTGTGCCACTAGAGATCCTGGTTCGAATCCAGGCTCTGCTGTAGCCGGCCGCAACCGGGAGACCAATGGGGCGGCGCACAATTGGCCCAGCGTCGTCCAGGGTAGGGGAGGGAATGGCCAGCAGGGAGGTAAGCATGGCGTTTGCAACGCCAGGGTTGTGGGTTCGATTCCCATGGGGGGGCCAGTATGAAAAAAAAAAAAAAAGATAATGTATGCACTAAGAAGCGTCTGGATAAGAGCGTCTGCTAAATGACGTAAATGTAAATGTAAATGTAGTAATAACATAGTAATACTATAGTATTACTATAGAACACCTGTAGTAATAACATAGTAATACTATATGAATACTGTAGTACACCTGTAGCAATAACATAGTAATACTATAGTAATATCATATTAATACTGTAGTAATACTATAGTACACCTGTAGTAATAACATAGTAATACTATAGTAATTCTGTAGTACACCTGTAGTAATAACATAGTAATACTGTAGGTGCAACCCTAACATCCTGACACTGTTTAGAGATCAAATCAAATGTTATGAGTGGAGACCACACATAAAGTATGTGCCACACACATAGAGGCTACTTGAGGTATTCATAATCAACTAACAGGAATATTTTCAGAGTTGGAGTAAATATTAGCATTGGATAATCAATCATTCTGACGTGTCATCAATTCCATACACAAGCCTTCTTGACTTTGTCTGCATGCATTGTTGAGGTCCATATAAATTCTGTCAATTGGCATTAATTAATTGGCATTCCTATTTTAAATATTGAAAACTACTAATTGAAAATAATTGGCACTTGCTGAATGAACTAAACTGAAATGGGATTGAGCTCAACCCAGCTTGCCATTATGCAGAAGAAATCCCCAAGGTTCAGCTGGTACAGAAGCCTAGCTCATAAAATAACAAAAAACACAGTAGGCAGTAGGTAGCTACAGATGTAGGATCTTACTTTGATCTGTATTGTCACAGCAAAATAATCCTGCAGCAACAGGATTTGAACGTTTAGTCCATAATGTTGCTTGATTTCTGGTTATGAAAAGATGAAAAAGAAAACAGACAACTATTGTCACATGACCACCCAGCAGGAAAAGATTGGCACATGACGTTTCTGGTTGTAAACTGGTTTTCTGGTTGTAAAGATGTGATAAAACCAGATTCCGACCAATTGGTCTCTGTTTCAACCAGATAAATATGTATTTTTCATGACGAGATCAAGACATCATCGTGTTAGCCTGTTAGCTCTAGGGAGAGGTTGGAGAGGTTGGGGAGTGTAGAGCCTTGCGGCTGTCCCGGAGGATGCCGTCTAGGCCGTTGAGCTGCCGTAGGAAGCCCCGGTTGGGGATAACGCCGCGGTGGTCCTTCACCGCCTTGATGGCCTCCACCAGGGTCAGGTTCTGACGGATCATAAGGTAGGCCAGGACCAGCGTTGCCGAACGACTCACACCCACCGCACAGTGTACCAGCACCTTACCTAGAGGGGAGGGAAAGAGAGAGAGAGAGAGAGAGAGAGATAGAGAGAGGAGAGTAGAGAGAGAGAGAGAGAGAGAGAAGAGAGAGAGAGAGAGACGTAGATCTCATATGAGAGATAGATAGAAGAGAGAGAGATAGAGAGTAGAGAATAGAGGAGAGAGAGAGAGAGAGATAATAGAGAGAGAGATATCCGCCGCCTCTACTCTCTCTCGCTCGCTCTCTTCTGCTCTGCTCCTCTCTCTCTCTCTCTCGATTCTCGAGACGCTCTATGATACTGCTTTTGCCTGTTACCTCCAGGTAATAGTCATCCACAGGTACACATACAGGAACATCTGAACAGATCAACAGGTGTGGGATTAATATTTGTAGATGGTGTGCACCTGAGTACCTGTTTAGGTGTGTGTTTGTGCAGACGTGTATGTGTGTGTTTGTGTGTGTGCCTGCGTGAACTACTGTTTGCGAGGAGGGCCAGTCTTGAAATGTTGCAGGTGAATCGATTGTCCTGACTCAAGCCTGGGTTTTGCTGAGTGTGTGTGTGAGAGAGGAACACAAATGTACTCACCACCGCTGCTGAGGGCTCTGTGTATGAACTCTGCAGCGGGGTAGAAGTTGACACTCATGTCGAAGGAGGGCGAGTCGTGGGCCTCGATGCCATGGTAGGTGATATCCATGCCAGCGTAGGACTCCGCCCCGCCGCGCCACTTACTCTGGGCACAGTTCAGGATGTGGGTGATGCCAAGCCGTGCCAGCTCACGCCGGTCTGATGCAATGTCTCTGCAGTACAGTTGGGTTGGGGAGGGGAATCACTCAATTGATCAATTAATCAAGCAACCAATCGCAAAATTAGCTGAAATGAAGCAGTAGGCCTAGCATACTATACTATCTCTTATGTTAGAAAAAAAAATTTGTATAACATATTAGACTTTGGAAAAAGCACAAGGTTTTGCAGCCTAGGTTACTCACTGGTCCCCGATGTAGAGCCTAGGCCAGACCTCGTCGGCATGGTTACACGCTGTTTTCCCGGTGTAGAGGAGCCGTTCCAGCTCAGACACTGTCAGCACCGGGGTCCCGCGCTCCGAATCTTTCCTGTTGGGAGATCTCGAGCTGCTCCGGGACCGGGAGAACCGGGACATGAACGCCATCTGGAGTGTGTGCTTCTGGTAGAAAAAGAGCACATTTTTGTTGGTTGCGTTCCAGACCGTCAACATCACAGCAGCATGCGCGTATGATAAGATTGGTTTATCAGCTCTTAAAATGTTAAATTCTTCTCATGGCATTATGAGATCTGTTTATCTGCACAACGTTACTTTGTTAACAACTTTGTTAACAATACTTTTTTACTCGATATGTAAACGTAGCCCACTCATGTAGCCTATGAGTGAATATATTTCGTTAATAAGAAAACATATGTTTTGTTGCGTGCAAATGCTGGTGTAATTGCCGTCAGATAACACACAATTGACTCGCAGAGCATAAACATAGCTATATGAACATATCCACATTTTAAAGGTGGGCTACATTTCTCTGCAATAATACGAGAGTGAATAATCAACATTAAAGCGCGTCTATTTCTCTGATTCGCTTGAATTTATTTGATGTCTGTTTATTCTCGAGCTTATGCTTGATGCTACACAGTATCAAATAGCGTTATCTACACAATGCCATACATATTCTAACAACAATACACACCGGAGGAAAACAAATCACACAATAAGAATCATTCACCTTCTTCCTTCTCGTTTCTCTTTCAATCTCTCGAGCGTCTCCCCTCCTCTCCTCCTCTCCTCACGCGACTACAGGGCGCCCATACTATCCGCCATGTTCCTCGCCTTTTAAACATGATACAGCAACAGTAGGATGTAAAAATCATCAATAAACCCCGACAATATTTGACAATAAACAGGTCCACAACAACATATTATTTACCAGGCAAATTTCAGATAACACATATTTTTCCTCAATAATGTAGCATACCTATGTTATTACTTTATTATGTTTACGAAACATTGTTTTGATAGCAACTAATTAGATTATTAGATTATATTTCAGAAATGAGCTTTTCACTAATGATACTGACCAATAAAACATTTAGTCTAATAATATTAAATAAAGGCTGCTATAGATGATGAAGGATACAATAGTTTAGACCAAAACACAACAACACCGAAGGTAGCCTAGAGGTTAAGAAGTTGGGCCAGTACCTGAAAGGTTGCTGTTTCGAATCCCGAGCTAACTAGGTCAAATCTGTCGATGTGCCGTTGAGCAAGGCACTTAACCCAACTCGCTCCTGTAAGATGACACTAAGCTACAGGACTGTTTTGCTAGCACAGACTGGAATATGTTCTGGGATTCTTCTGATGGCATTGAGTAGTACCACATCAGTCACTGCCTTCATCAATAAGTGCATCGATGAAGTCATCCCCACAGTGACCATATGTACATACCCCAACCAGAAGCCATGGATTACAGGCAACATCCGCACTGAGCTAAAGGGTAGAGCTGCCATTTTCAAGGAGCGAGACTCTGGACGCTTATAAGAAATCCCGCTATGCCCTCCGATGAACCATCAAACAGGCAAAGCGTCAATACAGGACTAAGATTGAATCGTACTACACCGGCTCCGACGCTCGTTGGATGTGGCAGGGCCTGCAAACTATTACAGACTACAAAGGGAAGCACAGCCGCAAGCTGCCCAGTGACACAAGCCTACCAGACGAGCTAAAATACTTATATGCTCGCTTCGAGGCAAGCAACACTGAAGCATGCATGAGAGCATCAGCTGTTCCGGATGACTATGTGATCACGCTCTCCGTAGCCGATGTGAGTAAGACCTTTAAACAGGTCAACATTCACAAGGCCGCAGCGCCAGACGGATTACCAGGACGTGAACTCCGAGCATGCGCTGACCAACTGGCAAGTGTCTTCACTGTCATATTCAACCTGTCCCTGACTGAGTCTGTAATACCAACATGTTTCAAGCAGACCACCATAGTCCCTGTGCCCAAGAACACTAAGGTAACCTGCCTAAATGACTACAGACCTGTAGAACTCCCATCTGTAGCCATGAAGTGCTTTGAAAGGCTGGTCATGGCTCACATCAACACCATTATCCCAGAAACCCTAGACCCACTCCAATTTGCATACCGCCCCAACAGATCCACAGATGATGCAATCTCTATCGCACTCCACACTGCCCTTTCCCACCTGAACAAAAGGAACACCTACGTGAGAATGCTATTCATTGACTACAGCTCAGCGTTCAACACCATAGTGCCCTCAAAGCTCATCACTAAGCTAAGGACCCTGGGACTAAACACCTCCCCGAGTGCTGAAGCACGTAGAGCGTAAAAATCATCTCTCCTTGGTTGCAACACTCACTACCGAGTTCCAAACTGCCTCTGGAAGCAAGGTCAGCATAAGAGCTGTTCGTCAGGACTTTAATGAAATAGGTTTCCATGGCCGAGCAGCCGCAAACAAGCCCAAGCGTGGAAACGTGTTCTCTGGAGTGATGAATCACACTTCACCATCTGGCATTCCGACGGACGAATCGGGCTTTGGCAGATGCTACCTGCCCCAATGCATAGTGCCAACTATACATTTACATTTTTGTCATTTAGCAGACGCTCTTATCCAGAGCGACTTACAGTTAGTGAGTGCATACATTTTATTTTTTTTTTTTTTTCATACTGGCCCCCCGTGGGAATCGAACCCACAACCCTGGCGTTGCAAACGCCATGCTCTACCAACTGAGCTACATCCCTGCCGGCCATTCCCTCCCCTACCCTGGACGACGCTGAGCCAATTGTGCACCGCCCCATGGTTCTCCCGGTCACGGCCGGTTACGACAGAGCCTGGATTCGAACCAGGATCTCTAGTGGCACAGCTAGCACTGAATCATTATTCCTCCTTCACCAAACTTTATAGGGGCTATTTTTCATGGTTCGGGCTAGGCCCCTTAGTTACAGTGAAGGGAAATCTATATATTTTTATTTATTTACTTTTTACTCCCCAATTGGTAGTTACAATCTTGTCCCATCGCTGCAACTCCCATACGGACTCGGTAGAGGCGAAGGTCGAGAGCCATGCATCCTCCGAAACACGACCCTGCTTCTTGACACACTGCTCGCTTAACCACAAAGCGAGGTCCATACAGAAATTATTTGTTGAGATCGGTGTGGAAGAACTTAACTGGCCTGGATCTCAACCCCATGGAACAACTTTGGGATGAATTGGAACGCAGACTGCGAGCCAGGCCTAATCGCCCAACATCAGTGTCCGACCTCACTAATGCTCTTATGGCTGAATGGAAGCAAGTCACTGCAGCAATGTTCCAACATCTAGTGGAAAGCCTTCCCAGAAGAATGGAGGCTGTTCTAGCAGTAAAGGGGGAAACTACTCCATATTAATGCCTATGATTTTGGAATGAGATGTTCAACGAGCAGGTGTCCACATACTTTTGGCCACGTAGTGTAGTTTCACAAGCCAATGCTAACTAGCTGGAAGTCAGTCATTGCGCTAACTCTAGTTAGCAATTGCGCCACAGATAGAACAATGAGACAGATATTTCACCAGATGTATAAATGTAAAGCATCCGCTTGGCGTTTCCACTCACTACCAAATATGCTGGTGAGAGAAAGCCCAGTGGCCGGCAGTGGGCGAAGATGGAACGAGATGGATTTTGGCCGACATTCTTCAAATGTTCTCATTGATGAAACATTTGATGTCAATACAGTTTTCTGTTCCCAAAAATATAATCTGTTACAAACAGAGTGGAATAAGGTTTGTAGACTTTAACCTTTGCCAAAGTTTCCAAAAATTGCGTTGTTTTGGAGTGCAAGTGTGAATTGAGTTATTGTACATGCGCACTTCACAGTGTAGGCGTTCCCTGACGGAAAGATGCAAATATATGCTAGAACGTGCCAATAGGATCTCACTAGCTCGTGCTTGGCTCTGCCCCCCTCCTTGCTTGTTCTGCCCACGATGACTCTTTGTTCCCATTGGAACAATGATAAACTGTGGTCTATCTTGGGTTAGTTATAAACATCTTTGATTGCTCTAGCGCTAGTTAGCAACTTTCTTCGAACTGCACGCAGAGACCTAAAAATGGTATCCGCGAGTTCATCTGACTCTGGGGAAGTAGAAAATCCCGATGTATCTATCCCTTTAAGGACCACGACAGCCACCATGTAAAGGATATTTGATATTTGGGGATGTTCCCCAGTGCTGGAAGGAGGGCCAGAGTGAAACAGTTTGGGGACCCCTGAGTTAGAGGATAGCGATGACAGGCCTACTCTCCAGTACCACAGAACAAGCCTTGGAGAGAAATGAATCAGAGAGGATCTGACAATGTTATAGCTATAAGATATATCATTTTGGTCAGTGGTTCAGCAATTTATTATCACAAGTTCTGTCTTGGGAAAATCAGGGACTGATTGCTGAAGAAAATATTATTGACATAACTAGCCATGAAAGTGCTATAGGCTACTGTACCTCAACACATTTATCTTGTCACTATAAAAACAAAAAATGCATCTATTCCTCAGCTCTTCCAGGACAGCCCCAACTTTGTCCTGTCAGACCTCAACATGCAGTTGTTGGATGGGGCTTACAACAGCCTTCACAACCCCCACCTATGGTCCTTCTACAGCCTGCAGGACAGGCAGGAGAGACTGTTTAAGGCTGGCTGTAGAACCACTGATCAAAAGGTAGAATACATACACACACACTCTCACTACTTGTATGTTATTGTTGCTATCTTACTCATAGACATGTGCTGTGTAATGGACTAAAACAGAAATGTCTGACGTTTTGAGGCCTCCTTTATAAATAAGGTGCTCTGTTCCCGGAGTGCAAATGTATTGGATAAAGAAATGAATTAACTCTACGTAAATAAATAATGAAATTTCAGATAAGAAATGACTTCCTGCCACTGAGGGGGGCAGGTGCACACAAACAGAACCAGGAAGAGAGTTACAGACAGGGATGTTTACGTAAAGTCATTGGCTTTGGTGCCTTGGTCCTTCACACACACATTTGTACACAGGTACTATATAACACACAGACACAAGCTCACACATGGTTTCTCATCTCTCCTTCTCCCTCCTCCTCCTCCTCTTCTCTAGACTCTCAGGTAAGGGTAACATGTTTCTCTGAAGTGATTGTGCTCCATGAACTTAAGAATATGCTGACATTGAAGACAGGAGCAGCAGGTGGCTTCTGTTGGTTTAATACAAGGAAGTTGTATCTAGATTTTGGATGTGAATATGTCTTGATGAAACCTGATTTATTTTTAAATATATATACAGTATTGCCAGAGACAGGGGCACAACTTTGGTTTTAGAAGTGGGGGGGGGGACATAATTATTATAAACACTCCAAACAGCCTACCCGACCGCTCTGAGGCATCCGCATGGTCCTAAAGCACACCGTTGCCGTCCCTATTGAAAGTAACGCCCCTGGCCAGAGACAGTTACCATGGAACATTTGTCCTGCACTGACAAGAAAAAAACTAAATTCACAAGAAAATCTACTATTTCCTGCCTGAATGTTTTTTGTTTTTATGTCTACAGGAACGGATGGGGTTAGGTTCATGTCTGTGTGGACAGGAGACTCCATCGCCATCCCATGTACCTATCATCAGGATTACATAAACCATGTCAAATACTGGTGTAAAGGGCATTCCTGGAATACATGCTCTTATGTCGTACGCACTGACCATCCCAATAGCAGTGGTAAGACCTCAATATCTGATGCCATCAATCTGAGAACCTTCACTATGGCTATGAAAAGTCTAGAACAAAGTGATTGTGATATTTACTGGTGTGTAGTGGAGAAGAACGGACCAGATGAATGGATAGAATTGTTCAAACTAGTCATTACAGGTAAGAAGATCCCTGGATAGTCCTGTTGATGAGTGTGTCACTGACATCCTTAGATAATTACTGACATTATTGCTTCATTTTCTGATAACTATAGCTGTGCAAGGTGACCCAGGAAATGTAAATAAAATGTTGAATGGCATAAATGTTAGTACTGTAGAAGAATGAAAAATGAAAACAATTCTGTCAGTCTATTTTGATAATGAAACTTACACATCATGTAAATGAGTGGTCTGTTGGATTAAGAGTCTTGAATGGACCTTGTTTTTCTACTCCTGAGTTCTTGTGTTCTGAACCTCTCTGTTCAGACAGTCCTATTGTTGACCAAGAGGAGACTGGCGTTGAGGGAGGTAGTGTTTTTACATCAATACCAACTATTCAAGAGATCTTTGTTGTACAAACCACAACACAGATTACCATCACCATCAGTAAGTACGGAGCATACTCTTTTCACACAATATTGTGAATCAGTAATGCGAAATCTTCCCGTTTTGATATAGGTTCTGCTTTATATTCCCACTTTGATCCTAGTCTGTGAAGTACTGACACTTTGTTTTTTCTTAAACATTGACAGCGATGCCAATACCAACCACCCAGGCACTCTCAGTTATGACTGGAGAATATGCACTCTCCTCTTCCACCTCTCAGGCCTCAGTCAACAACACACACCATGGAGCCCAGCGATAAGTGTAGGCTACACTATCCTATGGTCATTATGCAAAGATTTAATGAATTACTATCGCAAACCAATGTTATTCTTCTACAGATGGGAGCGAACACTATTCTACCTGCCGAAAACGGTTAATGCAGTGCTCTTTTTCCTGTGCACCATCATGGCTGTGGTGAAGTTTAGGACAAACCGACTCCGAGGTCAAACTGAGGATGAGTAGAAACCTCTGAGGTGCCGTCTGGAGCATCACTTCACACACCAATGTGGACACACTCTCACACTCACTCCCTATTGAAAAGTTATTGAATGTGTTTAACAGACATTTAAAGTGTGTGTATATGAATGAGGGTTTCATGGTTAACCTATGTGTAAATGGAACTCATGATGACCAAAGTGTTGTTGACAGTTAGTTCTTAAGTTGTTTCACAGTTGATATTTGGTCGCTTTGCATCATATGATGCAAAATTCATCATACAGAGATGATTTCTGTATTTTGAAGTTACATATCTTGAAAGTTGATTGCTGACAAGTAAAACATTTTGGGACTACAGTATGTCAACAATGGACTAATGAAACAAATACCAAAAGATCGTTTTTGGGTGGAGTTGAATCAGAGCCTTGGAGTACCATTCTGTTTATGTTTCCAGCTTTATAAATGGAATATAAATGCTTTGCTAATGAACCGTTTTAAAGACACTACTAATGATGTGAGCTCTGTGTTCTGTGGGTTTGAGTGTGAAGTAGTTTGCTGAGTTGGAGTAAACAATAGAGAGTACACTAAAGCTCAGCGGTAATTTCTCATGACATCATGGAATGAGTTTACCTGAAACCTGCAGCCTTCCGGTGAAGCTGCTTCATGTTAGAGATAATTGTGATTTTGAGCTGTGTCTATGACCAGAGTTAGTTTCCTGTATGGATACAGACTATTTACTATTTATTTAGGCTCAAGATCTGTGTATTTATTTAGGCAAAGGGAGTTCATATCTGGATTTTATCTAAATGTCTTAGAACCACATTAAGACTGGGTTGTGGTCTGGAGGACCATGAAACATGAACCTGCTTTTGGTGTGGGGGTCTGTGGAAGTTTTGGTTTAGCACTTGTCACTCCATCTCTGCAGAGTGAGCTGGGGTTCTGTCTCTCTCTCTCTTCCATCTCTGCAGTGTGAGCTGGGTCTGTCTCTCTCTCTCTCTCTCTCTCTCTCTCTACTCTCTCTCTACTTCTCTTCTCTCCTCTCTCTTTTGTCTTCTATTCTCCCTCTTCCATCTCTGCATTAAAGCTGGGGTTCTTCTCTATCTATCTCTTGCTATCTCTGAGAGTGAGCGGGGGTTCTGTCTGCTCTCTCTCTCTCTCTCTTCTCTTCCATCTTGCAGAGTGAGTTTGGTTTCTCTATCTCTCTCTCTTCCATCTCTGCAGGTGAGCTGGGGTTCTGTCTCTCTCTCTCTCTTCCATCTCTGCAGGTGAGCTGGGGTTCTGTCTCTCTCTCCTTCCATCTTCTGTGAGCTGGGTCTCTCTATCTCTCTTCATCTCTGCAGTGGCTGGGTTCTGTCTCTCTCTCTCTCTCTCTCTCTCTCTCTCTCTCTCTCTTCTCTCTCTCTCTCTCTCTCTCTCTTCTCTCAGTGTGAGCTGGGGTCTCTCTATCTCTTCTCTTCTATCTCTGCAGTGTGAGCTGGGGTTCTCTCTATCTCTCTCCATCTCTGCAGAGTGAGCTGGGGTTCTGTCTCTCTCTCTCTCTCTCTCTCTCTCTCTCTCTCTCTCTCTCTTCCATCTCTGCAGTGTGAGCTGGGGTTCTGTCTCTCTCTCTCTCTCTCTCTCTTCCATCTCTGCAGTGTGAGCTGGGGTTCTCTCTATCTCTCTCTCTTCTATCTCTGCAGTGTGAGCTGGGGTTCTGTCTCTCTCTCTCTCTCTCTCTCTCTCTCTTCCATCTCTGCAGATGAGCTGGGGTTCTCTCTATCTCTCTCTCTTCATCTCTGCAGTGTGAGCTGGGGTTCTGTCTCTCTCTCTCTTCCATCTCTGCAGTGTGAGCTGGGGTTCTGTCTCTCTCTCTCTTCCATCTCTGCAGAGTGAGCTGGGGTTCTGTCTCTCTCTCTCTCTTCCATCTCTGCAGAGTGAGCTGGGGTTCTGTCTCTCTCTCTCTTCCATCTCTGCAGTGTGAGCTGGGGTTCTCTCTATCTCTCTTCCATCTCTGCAGTGTGAGCTGGGGTTCTGTCTCTCTCTCTCTCTCTCTCTCTCTCTCTCTCTCTCTCTCTCTCTCTCTCTCTTCCATCTCTGCAGAGTGAGCTGGGGTTCTCTCTATCTCTCTCTCTTCCATCTCTGCAGTGTGAGCTGGGGTTCTGTCTCTCTCTCTCTTCCATCTCTGCAGTGTGAGCTGGGGTTCTGTCTCTCTCTCTCTTCCATCTCTGCAGAGTGAGCTGGGGTTCTGTCTCTCTCTCTCTCTTCCATCTCTGCAGAGTGAGCTGGGGTTCTGTCTCTCTCTCTTCCATCTCTGCAGTGTGAGCTGGGGTTCTCTCTATCTCTCTTCCATCTCTGCAGAGTGAGCTGGGGTTCTGTCTCTCTCTCTCTTCCATCTCTGCAGAGTGAGCTGGGGTTCTGTTTCTCTCTCTCTTCCATCTCTGCAGTGTGAGCTGGGGTTCTGTCTCTCTCTCTCTTCCATCTCTGCAGAGTGAGCTGGGGTTCTGTCTCTCTCTCTCTTCCATCTCTGCAGTGTGAGCTGGGGTTCTGTCTCTCTCTCTCTTCCATCTCTGCAGAGTGAGCTGGGGTTCTGTCTCTCTCTCTCTTCCATCTCTGCAGAGTGAGCTGGGGTTCTGTCTCTCTCTCTCTTCCATCTCTGCAGAGTGAGCTGGGGTTCTCTCTATCTCTCTCTCTTCTATCTCTGCAGTGTGAGCTGGGGTTCTGGGTTTCCTACTCATTCTCTCTCCTCCATCCCTCAGGGCCCAAACCCTGAGTGTCAGGGTGAAATGATGTTCAGCAGTACAGTGATTCCTCAGCAGCTCAGGACAACTCAGAGTGTAAACATTAAACCAAAGATCACAAACTCCTCTGCACACTCCACTGGCTTCCATTCCAAGCTCGCATCCACTACAAGACCATGTTGCTTGCCTACAGAGCAGCAAGGGGATCTGCCCCTCCCTACCTTCAGGCTATGTTCAAACCCTACACCCCAACCTGAGTACTCCGTTCTGCCACCTCTGGACTCTTGGCCCTTCCATTGACTTTGCCAATAGCTACTTTATTGAGAAAAAATGACTGACATATGTGGTTGTCCCACCTAGCTAACCGGAAGTCGTTCTGGAGAAGAGCGTCTGCTAAATTACTCAGATGTCAATGTAAACTGTAGGCCTAAGCACTAATAGATGGTTAAGCACATGTCCTTCAATTCTATCGAGTTAGTTTGAGGATAAAAATGTAGGCCTATAACATGTTGTTTTCTTACTTAGGATTTATCCAAAGATATTACATTTGGCCACTAGTGCCCCCTAAAGGCAACTCTCCATTTGGTGTCAGCCAGGCTATCTGCAGGCATCCATCTTTGTGAAATCATGAGTAGGCCTACGGTACACTGAGTGTACAAAACATTAGGAACACCTTCCTAATATTGAGTTGCACTCCGTTTTCCCCTTAGAACAGTATAGGGGCATGGACTATACAAGGTGTCGAAAGCGTTTCTACAGGGATGCTGGTCCATGTTGACTCCAATGCTTCACACAGTTGTGTCAAGTTGGCTGGATGTCCTTTGGGTGATGGACCATTCTTGATACACATGGGAAACTGTTGACTGCATTGCTGTTCTTGATGCACTCAAACTGGTGCGCCTGGCACCTACTACCATATACAGTGGGGGAAAAAAGTATTTAGTCAGCCACCAATTGTGCAAGTTCTCCCACTTAAAAAGATGAGAGAGGCCTGTAATTTTCATCATAGGTACACGTCAACAATGACAGACAAATTGAGGAAAAAAATCCAGAAAATTACATTGTAGGATTTTTTATGAATTTATTTGCAAATTATGGTGGAAAATAAGTATTTGGTCACCTACAAACAAGCAAGATGTCACGATCGTCGTAAGCAACGGACCAAGGCGCAGCGTGATATGCGTACATCTTTTTAATGTGTACTTAGCAACACGATACAAACAACAAAAACAACAAAACGAAACGTGAAGTCCTCGGTCATAAACACACAAACCTACACGGAACAAGATCCCACAAATGACAAGTGCACAAAAGGCTGCCTAAGTATGGTTCCCAATCAGAGACAACAAGCAACAGCTGATTCACGTTGCCTCTGATTGGGAACCACCCCGGCCAACATAGAAAACACATGAACTAGAAACTGAACATAGAACACAAAACATAGACCCTACACACCCTGGCTCAACATATAAGAGTCCCCAGAGCCAGGGCGTGACAGTACCCCCCCCAAAGGCGCGGACTGCGACCGCGCCAACTAAATCCAACAGGGGAGGGGCCGGGTGGGCATTCCGCCTCGGAGGCGGATGCGGCTCCGGGCGTGACCACCACCCTCTAACTACCCCCCCATAGCGCCCCTGGTCTGGTCTGGCCCCGCTGGCTGGAGCTGGACTGGACATCGGTGGAGCGGATTGCTTAGGCTCCGGTGTGGAGCAGCTGACCGGTACCTGACCAGGCACCGGTGAAACAGGCACGGGCTGTGCCGGACTGACAACGCGCACCACAGGCTTGGTGCGGGGAGCAGGAATGGGCCGGACCGGGCTGACGACGCGCACCACTGGCTTGGTGCGGGGAGCAGGAACGGGCCGGACCGGGCTGATGACGCGCACCACTGGCTTGGTGCGGGGAGCAGGAACGGGCCGGACCGGGCTGGCAACGCGCACCACTGGCTTGGTGCGGGGAGCAGGAACGGGCCGGGCCGGGCTGGCGACGCGCACCACAGGCTTGGTGCGAGGGGCAGGAACAGGCCGGGCCGGGCTGGCGACGCGCACCACAGGCTTGGTGCGAGGGGCAGGAACAGGCCGGGCCGGGCTGGCGACGCGCACCACTGGCTTGGTGCGAGGGGCAGGAACAGGCCGGGCCGGGCTGGCGACGCGCATCACAGGCTTGGTGCGAGGGACAGGAACAGGCCGGGCCGGGCTGGCGACGCGCACCACAGGCTTGGTGTGAGGGGCAGGAACAGGCCGGGCTGGGCTGGCGACGCGCACCACAGGCTTGGTGCGAGGGGCAGGAACAGGCCGGGCCGGACTGGGAACACGCACCACTAACTTAGTGCGGGGAGCAGGAACGGGTTGGGGCCGTACTGGGAACACGCACCACTAACTTAGTGCGGGGAGCAGGAATGGGTTGGGCCGTACTGGGAACACGCACCACTAACTTAGTGCGGGGAGCAGGAACGGGTTAGGCCGTACTGGGAACACTTACCACTAACTTAGTGCGGGGAGCAGGAACGGGTTGGGCCGTACTGGGAACACGCACCACTAACTTAGTGCGGGGAGCAGGAACGGGTCGGGCCGGACTGGGAACACGCACCACTAACTTAGTGCGGGGATCAGGAACGGGCCGGACCGGACTGGTGTCACACACCATTTGCTTGGTGCGAGGAGCGGGACTGGGTTTCCTCATAAACCTCCGCTCCCTCTGCTGCCTACTCAGTTCCTCTCGCCGTGCCTCTACTCTCTCCTTCTCCCTTATCGCCTCCAGTAGCTCCTCCCTCTGACCAACTAACTCCTGCTCCCTCATGACCAATAGCCCCCGTAACCTGGTGGCCTCCTCTCCTATTCTGCAGATACGCCCTGTAGCTGCCTCCAGCAGCCCCATCGTCCATGCCGTGTGCCCCCCCCCAAAAAAATGTATTGGGGGTGCCTCTCGCCTGTCCGACGATGACACTGTTGGCGCCGTACCTCCTCTCTCGCCAGGGCTTTAACCTTTGCCCATGGCCCTTTGCCCGCGAACATGTCCTCCCAGGACCACCATTGGCCCACCTGGGCCATCGCCAACTTCTCCAGCTCCTTACCCGGCGTTTGCTCCGAAACACGCTGCTTGGTCCTGTTATGGTGGGATCTTCTGTCACGATCGTCGTAAGCAACGGATCAAGGCGCAGCGTGATATGCGTACATCTTTTTAATGTGTACTTAGCAACACGATACAAACAACAAAAACAACAAAACGAAACGTGAAGTCCTCGGTCATAAACACACAAACCTACACGGAACAAGATCCCACAAATGACAAGTGCACAAAAGGCTGCCTAAGTATGGTTCCCAATCAGAGACAACAAGCAACAGCTGATTCACGTTGCCTCTGATTGGGAACCACCCCGGCCAACATAGAAAACACATGAACTAGAAACTGAACATAGAACACAAAACAAAGACCCTACACACCCTGGCTCAACATATAAGAGTCCCCAGAGCCAGGGCGTGACACAAGATTTCTGGCTCTCACAGACCTGTAACTTCTTCTTTAAGAGGCTCCTCTGTCCTCCACTCGTTACCTGTATTAATGGCACCTGTTTGAACTTGTTATCAGTATAAAAGACACCTGTCCACAACCTCAAACAGTCACACTCCAAACTCCACTATGGCCAAGACCAAAGAGCTGTCAAAGGACACCAGAAACAAAATTGTAGACCTGCACCAGGCTGGGAAGACTGAATCTGCAATAGGTAAGCAGCTTGGTTTGAAGAAATCAACTGTGGGAGCAATTATTAGGAAATGGAAGACATACAAGACCACTGATAATCTCCCTCGATCTGGGGCTCCACGCAAGATCTCACCCAGTGGGGTCAAAATGATCACAAGTGAGGTGAGCAAAAATCCCAGAACCACACAGGGGGACCTAGTGAATGACCTGCAGAGAGCTGGGACCAAAGTAACAAAGCCTACCATCAGTAACACACTACGCCGCCAGGGACTCAAATCCTGCAGTGCAAGACGTGTCCCCCTGCTTAAGCCAGTACATGTCCAGGCCCGTCTGAAGTTTGCTAGAGTGCATTTGGATGATCCAGAAGAGGATTGGGAGAATGTCATATGGTCAGATGAAACCAAAATAGAACTTTTTGGTTGCATCCAAAGAACACCATACCTACTGTGAAGCATGGGGGTGGAAACATCATGCTTTGGGGCAGTTTCTCTGCAAAGGGACCAGGACGACTGATCCGTGTAAAGGAAAGAATGAATGGGGCCATGTATCGTGAGATTTTGAGTGAAAACCTCCTTCCATCAGCAAGGGCATTGAAGATGAAACGTGGCTGGGTCTTTCAGCATGACAATGATCCCAAACACACCGCCCGGGCAACGAAGGAGTGGCTTCGTAAGAAGCATTTCAAGGTCCTGGAGTGGCCTAGCCAGTCTCCAGATCTCAACTCCATAGAAAATCTTTGGAGGGAGTTGAAAGTCTGTGTTGCCCAGCGACAGCCCCAAAACATCACTGCTCTAGAGGAGATCTGCATGGAGGAATGGGCCAAAATACCAGCAACAGTGTGTGAAAACCTTGTGAAGACTTACAGAAAATGTTTGACCTGTGTCATTGCCAACAAAGGGTATATAACAAAATATTGAGAAACTTTTGTTATTGACCAAATACTTATTTTCCACCATAATTTGCAAATAAATTCATTAAAAATCCTACAATGTGATTTTCTGGATTTTTTTCCCTCATTTTGTCTGTCATAGTTGACGTGTACCTATGATGAAAATTACAGGCCTCTCTCATCTTTTTAAGTGGGAGAACTTGCACAATTGGAGGCTGACTAAATACTTTTTTTCCCCACTGTACCGTTCAAAGGCACTTAAATATTTTGTCTTGCCCATTCACCCTCTGAATGGCACACATACACAATCCATGTCTCAATTGTCTCAAAGCTTAAAAATCATTCTTTAACCTGTCTCCTCCCCTTCATCTACACTGATTTAAGTGGATTTAACAGGTGACATCAATATGTAATGGAAGAAGTAGGTGTTTCTAATGTTTTGTACACTCAGTGTATGTTCCAGCAGAGGAAAGCAGCACAGCAGTGACTGGGATCTTTGGGTTAAATTAGTCCATATGGTATAGTCTCTGTGGGAACTTAGAGAAGAATGAGTAGACCAACAGAAGCAGTAAGAGAGTTAAAGACAGTAATATATTTGTATTTTATAGAACGCAGATAATGGCCAGAATTTCCATCCATTGTCAAACTCCTGACATGAATACATTATCTCACACTTTTGGCGTCACTGGGGGAATGGGAAAATGAAACCAACCAAGAATGGTACTGGGTCGTCCCTAGTTACCACAGCCACAAAGTCATAATTATGACTAAACCCCGCCTATTTTTAAAAATGTTTTATCTTCTTACAATCTGTTTTTAAATCTAAGCCTAAATTTACCCCTAACTTTAACCACACTGCTAACCTTATGCCTAACCCTAACCTTAAATTAAGACCAATTTCGACTTTGTAGCTGTGGTAACTAGTGACAACCATGGTATTATACAGGGATAAGAATTGGGTGGAAAAGGATTTTGAAGATAATATAAATTATTATTGGTGTCTATTCGAGTTTAATATTATAACATACAGACAAATAAATATATTATGTAATAACCACTCTAGAATTAAAACCTCAAGCGGCGTCAAATTTGGTTTGACCAATAGTAGCAGAGAACGGGGCTACCCAACTGTCTCGTGCGTACGTTACAAAACAGGAAGTGTTTCATCGTCGCCCGAACCGAACTGCACGAGAATTCCATGGCCTGAAAGGACAGTGACACAACAGCAAATAACCCCTCTAAATTTGCACCAAACATCGTGTACATGAGATTTACAAGCCGACCAAAAATGAACTACATGCCAGGAACAGCCAGCCTCATCGAGGATATCGATAGTAAGTCGATGGCGCTGCATGGCCACTCCAAGGCTTGCTTACGCCGCTAGCCGGTGTTGTGTTGAGATGCACCGGTTTCTACCACTGGCTGTTGGTTGGTTCTGGTAGAGGGTTTTCGAAATAATGTCCATTGATATATTTGTTAGATAACAGCTTCTAAAGCAGTGCCAACATGACATGCACACACATGGCATTACCAGAGGACATGATGTGCGCACCTGGCACTCCGATGAGTACACACCTGAACACTGTTATCAAATCAACTGTCAGTAGCCTGCATAGCTACCTCCCTATGTCTGGGGCAACGGCTGTAGGCCGCAATTGTAAGCAGAACATGACCAGTAGGCTACTAATCTAACCATTAATAATCATGTTCTCTTTTCATAAGCCACCAACAAAAATGCACACTTAAAACCATAGTAATTGCATCATATGCAATGCAATGATTTTACTGCATGTTTCAATTTACAGAAAAACATCTCGTCCTGCTCAGAGATGGAAGAACATTGATCGGCTTTCTCAGAAGCATTGATCAGTTTGGTATGTAAGTATTCGGACCATTGCATTGCAATACCATTGTATTGCATACCACATAGTCGGAAAGCAACCAAGCATTTTTGCGTGTTTGTGTGTGTGTAGCCAACCTGGTGCTACAGCAGACGGTGGAGCGGATCCACGTGGGCAAGAGGTATGGAGACATCCCTCGAGGAATCTTCATCGTCAGGGGAGAGAACGTCGTCCTCCTGGGGGAGATCGTAAGTCGGCAACACACACACATAGACCCCCCTCTACACTCCAAGTATGGGTAGTTGCATCCCAATATGGCGACCGGAGTATGGGGGAGTGGGTGTATGAAAAGCGAATCGGCTATTTGGGCAGATTTGTTGCCACTTAAGACTGTTTTTCGTGGCTGATTGGGCTGCACTACGAGTCGATAGTAAGCTGCTATTGTCCGTTTTATAACTGAACATTTACAATTATTTGTGTAAAACTAACAGTGAAATACAACTCAGACCCATCCTCTGGCTTCAAAACAGAAGTCCAAACTCTCGCGGTACAGTAGCTCAATGTACGATAGTTGCATGGCAAGAAACGGAAGGAAAAGAGAATTTGTAAGTCGCTCTGGATAAGAGCGTCTGCTAAATGACGTAAATGTAAAACATAGCTCAGTCAAAACCGTCTAACCTATAGCAGAGCACTTTTGACACGCCCACTACTTTCCTTTCCACATGTCCACTCCTTTCCTTTCCACATGCCCACTCCTTTCCTTTCCACATTGCCCACTACTTTCCTTTCCACATTCCACTACTTTCCTTTCCACATGCCCACTCCTTTCCTTTCCACATGCCCACTCCTTTCCTTTCCACATGCCCACTACTTTCCTTTCCACATGCCCACTCCTTTCCTTTCCACATGCCCACTCCTTTCCTTTCCACATGCCCACTCCTTTCCTTTCCACATGCCCACTACTTTCCTTTCCACATGCCCACTACTTTCCTTTCCACATGCCCACTCTTTCCTTTCCACATGCCCACTACTTTCCTTTCCACATGCCCACTACTTTCCTTTCCACATGCCCACTACTTTCCTTTCCACATGCCCACTCCTTTCCTTTCCACATGCCCACTCCTTTCCTTTCCCCACATGCCCACTCCTTTCCTTTCCTTTCCACATGCCCACTACTTTCCTTTCCACATGCCCACTCCTTTCCTTTCCACATGCCCACTACTTTCCTTTCCACATGCCCACTACTTTCCTTTCCACATGCCCACTACTTTCCTTTCCACATGCCCACTACTTTCCTTTCCCATGCCCATACTTCCTTTCCACATGCCCACTACTTTCCTTTCCACATGCCCACTACTTTCCTTTCCACATGCCCCTCCTTTCCTTTCCACATGCCCACTCTTCCTTCCTTTCCACATGCCCCTACTTTCCTTTCCACATGCCCGCTACTTTCCTTTCCACATGCCCGCTCCTTTCCTTTCCACATGCCCACTACTTTCCTTTCCACATGCCCACTCCTTTCCTTTCCACATGCCCACTCCTTTCCTTTCCTTTCCACATGCCCGCTACTTTCCTTTCCACATGCCCGCTCCTTTCCTTTCCACATGCCCACTCTTTCCTTTCCACATGCCCACTACTTTCCTTTCCACATGCCCACTCCTTTCCTTTCCACATGCCCACTACTTTCCTTTCCACATGCCCGCTCCTTTCCTTTCCACATGCCCGCTACTTTCCTTTCGACACACACACTCCTTTCGACACGCCCACATCCTTTCCTTTCCATCATGCCCACTCCTTCCTTTCCACATGCCCACTACTTTCCTTTCCACATGCCCCACTCCTTTCTTTCCTTCCACATGCCCACTCCTTTCCTTTCCACATGCACACTCCTTCCTTTCCCACATGCCCACTCCTTTCCCTTTCCACATGCCCACTACTTTCCTTTCCACCATGCCCACTCCTTGTCCTTTCCTTTCCAATGCCCACTACTTTCCTTTCCAATGCCCGCTCCTTTCCTTTCCACATGCCCGCTCCTTTCCTTTCGACACACACACTCCTTTCGACACGCCCACTACTTTCCTTTCCACATGCCCACTACTTTCCTTTCCACATGCCCACTCCTTTCCTTTCCACATGCCCACTCCTTTCCTTTCCACATGCCCACTCCTTTCCTTTCCACATGCCCACTCCTTTCCTTCTTCACATGCCCACTCCTTCCTTTCCTTTCACATGCCCACTCCTTTCCTTTCCACATGCCCACTACTTTCCTTTCCACATGCCCACTCCTTTCCTTTCCACATGCCCACTCCTTTCCTTTCCACACACCCGCTACTTTCCTTTCGACACACACTCCTTTCAACACGCCCACTACTTTCCTTTCGACACACCCACTCGCCCATACTCCGGTCGCCATATTGGGATGCAACTACCCCCTTCTCCTACACACACATACACAAATGTCTTAGTGTGTGTGTATACCTGTGAAGGACCTGGAGAAGGAGAGTGACACCAGTCTGCAGCAGGTGTGTATCGAGGACATCCTGGAGGAGCAGCGGCTGCAACAGCAGAGCAGGCAGGAGGCAGAGAAGACCAAACACCTGGCCCTGAAGGAGAGAGGCCTGGTCATGCCCAGACCAGACATCATGGACGAATACGGAGTACAGCACCAATACTGACCGGTATACATACATACATACATGTCCATGATACATGCGCACACACACACACACACACACACACACACGGTCAATAGATAATGATCCAAGTTCACCATCTTTACTTTACCTTTGAGAGTGAATCCCCAATGTACTGGGCACCTATGACAAAGCACCTTATTTCACATTCAGAGTTTTATATTATGTTTCCCTAAGAGTATCATGGCACTGACATAAATGTACAGTATTTTGTTTGAACCATTCTTTTAAACTATTTTGTGAGGTGTAATGAAATCTACATTTTGATTTGTACAGAAGTGAAAAGATGATTAATCAAAGTTGTACATCACTGGAAAGGCCTTTGTTTGTATTAAACATGTTTATTTTTTAGAACATGGTGTGTCGTGTGTTATCAGTGGTTGTGTTTGTAGGTTAGCTGTAGTTTAAGTTTGAGTAGCTAGGTCTATCGGAGGTACCAGTCCAAGATATGGCGAAATCTCACTAGTGTACCTGCGGCTGAGCCTCCTTTTGGAGCAGTTCTATATCTGACCAGTAGAGGATGTGCTTGCACTACTTTAGCCATGCATCTTTACTCGCCTCTTTCTGCATATGTCTGGTGTTCGTGTCACTGAAGAAATTTGCAGCTAAAATGCCAGATATCATTTGATTAGGCTTATTACACATGAATATGACACCTGAGTAAACTTGTGCTTGATTATGTTTAAATTCGTGCCTGATCTGATAAAAAGCTTTAAAAAAAGGCTTGGTTTCAAATGCTATCCAATGAATTATACATATTGGTAGCGTATAATAAATGTTTAACATATTTCAAATAAATATGCTAAATTAATATTTTGTGTGTGTATGTAAAAGCAGGCCATATTCACTCAATACATCCCTTCATCGGTCACCCTGGAAACAGCTTCACCTCATTCTTTTTTCTGTTTCATCTGTATCTTGTATGCTAACACCATAGTTGGTACTGTTCACACTGTGTGCTACATTGTTACTAAGCTACAGCATCTATTTTACACTCACTGTAGTGTACACTCTTAGAAAAAAGGTTCGATTCCCACGGGGGGCCAGTATGAAAAAATTAAAAATAATGTATGTACTCACTAACTGTAAGTCGCTCTGGATAAGAGCGTCTGCTAAATGACTAAAATGTACATTTAAATAAGCACAGGTTCAAGCTGCATGCAGCGCCCCTGGATGGAGAGCATGTTGTGAGGTTAAGGGCCCAACGGTAGGGGAATATTTTGGGGATGAGAACCCAGAAGCCCTCCAGTTGTCAGATCAATTCTGTTTTTTTACTAGCGCTCAGGCGGGATTCGAACCAGACACCATTGGGCTCGATCCGAAAATGTGGTTGGAGGCGCTATATGTATGGTGTGACGCAATTGCGCAGCCTCCGGCCAAATTGAGCTCTGTACTGCATCGCCATGCTTCTCTCAAATTTTTTAACAATGCGGAGGGCTAGGTATAGCTCCACATTGACATGATTGGTTGACGGTAGGTGAGGGCGGGAGGTCCTGTATAAACACAAACTCACTTCCTTGACAACTTCCTTCACAACAGCTCTGCACTGCTCGGCAATGCGCAAGAAGTATGAATGCCTAGACTTCTGCAGAGGCCATATCACCGGAAATGTTGCACGGCCAATGCAGATGACGGATTGACCATGCAGCGCCTTTTTAGCTGCTGGGCTACCTTCCTGCTGGACTGGTTCCAGAGAAGAATAAAAAAGGAGCAAAAACATGAGTTCATCTCCAGAAATAAGCATCAGTTTATCTGCCAAAATGAAGACAAAATGCTATGCAGACATAATTATTATGATATAGAAGAACAACTTACATGCAGTTTAAAGAGGCATCTTCTGCCTCTGATAGTTGTGGGTTACTGCCAGACTGAGAAAAACATAGATACTGTGTTAAGTCATGTAATGATTAACTAGTCTATTGAATCACCAAGACTTAAAGCCAATTTATGCTTGATCTGAAAATGTGGTTGGAGGCGCCGTATGGATGGTGTGACGCAATTCCACAGCCTCTGGAGGCATGCAGAGGCCAAATTGAGCGCTATACCGCATCGCCATGCACCTCTCAAATTCTGGAACAATGTGGAGGCTCCATATTGCTCCTCATTGACATGAGTGGTTGACAGTAGGTGAGGGCGGGAGATCTTGTACAGTGGGGGAAAAAAGTATTTAGTCAGCCACCAATTGTGCAAGTTCTCCCACTTAAAAAGATGAGAGAGGCCTGTAATTTTCATCATAGGTACATGTCAACTATGACAGACAAAATGAGATTATTTTTTCCAGAAATTCACATTGTAGGATTTTTTATGAATTTATTTGCAAATTATGGTGGAAAATAAGTATTTGGTCAATAACAAAAGTTTCTCAATACTTTGTTATATACCCTTTGTTGGCAATGACACAGGTCAAACGTTTTCTGTAAGTCTTCACAAGGTTTTCACACACTGTTGCTGGTATTTTGGCCCATTCCTCCATGCAGATCTCCTCTAGAGCAGTAATGTTTTGGGGCTGTCGCTTGGCAACACAGACTTTCAACTCCCTCCAAAGATTTTCTATGGGGTTGAGATCTGGAGACTGGCTAGGCCACTCCAGGACCTTGAAATGCTTCTTACGAAGCCACTCCTTCGTTGCCCGGGCGGTGTGTTTGGGATCATTGTCATGCTGAAAGACCCAGCCACGTTTCATCTTCAATGCCCTTGCTGATGGAAGGAGGTTTTCACTCAAAATCTCACGATACATGGCCCCATTTATTCTTTCCTTTACACGGATCAGTCGTCCTGGTTCCTTTGCAGAAAAACCGCCCCTAAGCATGATGTTTCCACCCCCATGCTTCACAGTAGGTATGGTGTTCTTTGGATGCAACTCAGCATTCTTTGTCCTCCAAACACGACGAGTTGAGTTTTTATCAAAAAGTTCTATTTTGGTTTCATCTGACCATATGACATTCTCCCAATCCTCTTCTGGATCATCCAAATGCACTCTAGCAAACTTCAGACAGGCCTGGACATGTACTGGCTTAAGCAGGGGGACACGTCTTGCACTGCAGGATTTGAGTCCCTGGCGGCGTAGTGTGTTATTGATGGTAGGCTTTGTTACTTTGGTTTCATCTGACCATATGACATTCTCCCAATCCTCTTCTGGATCATCCAAATGCACTCTAGCAAACTTCAGACAGGCCTGGACATGTGCTGGCTTAAGCAGGGGGACACGTCTTGCACTGCAGGATTTGAGTCCCTGGCGGCGTAGTGTGTTATTGATGGTAGGCTTTGTTACTTTGGTCCCAGCTCTCTGCAGGTCATTCACTAGGTCCCCCCGTGTGGTTCTGGGATTTTTGCTCACCGTTCTTGTGATCATTTTGACCCCACGGGGTGAGATCTTGCGTGGAGCCCCAGATCGAGGGAGATTATCAGTGGTCTTGTATGTCTTCCATTTCCTAATAATTGCTCCCACAGTTGATTTCTTCAAACCAAGCTGCTTACCTATTGCAGATTCAGTCTTCCCAGCCTGGTGCAGGTCTACAATTTTGTTTCTGGTGTCCTTTGACAGCTCTTTGGTCTTGGCCATAGTGGAGTTTGGAGTGTGACTGTTTGAGGTTGTGGACAGGTGTCTTTTATATACTGATAACAAGTTCAAACAGGTGCCATTAATACAGGTAACGAGTGGAGGACAGAGGAGCCTCTTAAAGAAGAAGCTACAGGTCTGTGAGAGCCAGAAATCTTGCTTGTTTGTAGGTGACCAAATACTTATTTTCCACCATAATTTGCAAATAAATTCATTAAAAATCCTACAATGTGATTTTCTGGATTTTTTTTCCTCAATTTGTCTGTCATAGTTGACGTGTACCTATGATGAAAATGACAGGCCTCTCTCATCTTTTTAAGTGGGAGAACTTGCACAATTGGTGGCTGACTAAATACTTTTTCCCCCCACTGTATAAACACAAACTCACTTCCTTGACAACTTCCTTCACAACAGCTCTGTGCTGCTCCGCAATGCGCAAGAAGTATGAATGCCTAGACTTCTGCAGAGGCCATATCACCATAAATGATTGACCATGCAGTGCCTTTAATGAGCTCCATTTGACCTCTGCAAGGATCCAGAGGCTCAGCAATTGCATCAAACCCTCCATAAGGAGCCTCCGGATCACATTTCCAGAGCAAGCATAAATTGGGTTTAGCAATTGGGGGCTGGTGCGGGTGAACATACAGCTGACCCACGTACCACTAGCCTACTTGCAAGTAGCTTACCATTAAGCATGTTATTTTTCAATGTATTAAGGTAAGCAAAGTTGATTATTTAATTCAAATACATGAAGCCAAAGTATGATAAACCATAGGCCAGATGAAGTGTTATTAGAATTTGAGCATGTTTGTAAGCAGCTAGCTAAACAGAAAAGGCTACTTGAATTTGCCACTTTACAAGCTAGCCAGCTAACTCTTTCAAATAAATGTTATTTTTATTATGGGATATGCCAAATAGAGCTACAGACCCAGCCTGACATTGGCAATTAGTTAATTGTTTATTTTTATTTCAGTGTGGAGTCAATTGAGGGACTAGCCTATTTTTCGTGAAGCCATTAGAAGACTGTTGCTGACTGAGAGGAGATAAGTTATACATAATCTATTTATAATAAATGATGTATAATAAGAGCTCCGCATTTGCGTCAAACCCTTTATATGGAGCCTACGGATCGCATTTTAGGAGCAAGCATAAATTGGCTAAAACCCGCAAATATAAAAAATGTCTGTAGGCTAGTGAGAGACAGCTGAAGGATTTTTTGACAGGGGTTGCGTGATTTTTTTTAGCAGATATGTTTTGCTTATAATTTCCGACATTTTGGTGGGCTATTTGTTAGTCAACTTGTCTATAATTATATACAGTGGGGCGAACAAGTATTTGATACACTGCCGATTTTGCAGGTTTTCCTACTTACAAAGCATGTAGAGGTCTGTAATTTTTATCATAGGTACACTTCAACTGTGAG